ACTTAAAGGTACAAGTAATCTCACTGACCTGGGAGCTTAATAGCAGCAGAATTAACCACCGCAGACTTTCGAGTGGCCCGGGGAGCAGTCAGGCTGTTTTCATGTGGACACACTCACCTCTCCATCCCGTCCCGTCCCCGCGGCGGAGCGGGCTGTCCCCTCGTCCAGCCGTTACCCCACCACTGCCGCTCTGCCCAGCCGAAGCCAACCGGGGACACCGGCTGCCCCCCCCGGCTCGGAGGCTCTTTCAGGGCTGGCAGTGGGGCCCTCGGCCGAGGTGCATCTGCTCCGGCGGTGGCTGATGGGCCCCAGGGGCTCCCCTGCTCCTGCCAGGGAAGTTTTAGAGGGAAATACATTTGTGATGCTTCAACCTGAGAGACTCTCTCCTACATGAGCCAAAGGAAACGCCAAGGTATGTTTGGGATCTCAGCTCATGTAGTTTCCACGAGCTTCAACGTTACAACGGCCAGTTGAAAAACTTCTCCCAGAGGGAAGGAAAGGCGGCCGGTGCCGGGGGCGGCCGTCGTCCCGCAGAAGCCCTGCTGCACCCTTCACCCCCCAGTGCTGTTTTACACACAAAAAGCCGTGGGTCTGAGAACACCACAGTAAACAGGACAAAAGGCGCCGCTTTCAACCCTTCTCCTTCCACCTGAGAGGGGTGGGCATGTTGTGAGGGAACCATTAACCCGGGAACCGCTGTGCAACGCAGGAGGGAGGAGGTCGGTGGCAAAGAAGCGGGCAATTTCTCGAGTCTCGCTGCAGAGGGGTGCAGAAACGGAGGGAAACCCTCTGCGTGAGGCCAGCACGGTGCTACGCGCGGCACGGCGCAAGCCCAGCCAACGCGCCCGTCTCCCCAGCTTCGGTGTGTGATCTGAGGCACGGGGACGGCCTTGGAGAGGACTGAGGAGGCAGACCTGCAAGAGGCAACGCGTGCGCGGCCTGAGGGACATCCCTGTGAAGACCCTGCTGCCTGCGGGGAGCTCTCCTGGGTGGGACGTGGCTCAGGGCTCCTTTCTCCATCCCCTGGAGAACACGATGGTGAGCCCAAAACTGCAGGAGTCCAGAAACTCAGCGCCAAAAAGGCAGGGAAGGTGCCCATCTGGTTGGGTGCTGCCCCACCTGCAGCGTCTAGAGAGGTGCAGCTGGACCGTGGCCGAGATGCTCCCAAAAAGGGCACCCCGGGGTGGAGCATCCCCGAAGGAGAAGGGCTGAAATTCTTGTTGATGGTGAGACAAAGACACCTGCACCCTTGGGGGAGCGCTGGTGGTCAAAGGTGGCGCTGGGTACCTCATCCAAGGGACGAGGTCCTCTCCTGCAACCCAACGGCCGGAGCTGACTCGTACTCAGGGCTTTGGCTGACACAGCAGCTATCCTGGCCGGGGGAGCGTCTGCAGGGCAAGGCCTGGCTTCAGCTCAACCCAGAAACCTTTAGAATGGCAAAGGTGCCGCGAGGAAAGAAAGAGACGTCACTGAGCGCTCCCCCTAAGGCACAGGACATACAACACTGAGGGCAATATCTGGGTTACCTGATATCACAGTAGCGTTTATTAACCAGCAGATGCGGGTAAATTATTTCTCTGCTCTTTGGAGACTAAAACAGCGCCAAGGCCTTGCTGGGAAACCACTTGGGTAGGAGACAACAGAGTGGGGACCTGTGCTGAAAGTAATTAATGGGCAAACACACAACGTAGGTGCGATGTGCTGTTTCTCCAGGTGCCACAGGCACCCGGGGCAGCCGTCGAAGATGGAGACACGGTCAGATACGCAGGCACAGAGCTCAGCTCCTGGGACGGAGGTGGGACACAGCGGGCAGCGCTGCGGGAAAAGCACTTTTTTTGCGGCTGAGGCCGTACAAACGCAGCCCCTGATCCTCATTTTAAGGTAAAGACAAACCACACCTGCCGTCGGGAGGGGAGAACGAACAGCAAAACCCAGCACCAGGGCCCGTGACCCACGCACCGCCAGCAGTGAGACGGTGGCTTGAAGCGGAATTGTGGAGAGGAACTTAAACGAGGAGGACTAAGTCACGCAATAGGGAGCGTAAGAATTGATTATTTTATTCCAAAGCAAGCAGCTGCTTCAGAGGTGTTAAATTCTCATAATGGAAAATACCAGGGCTGCCGTCTCGTACCTGCACTGGCTGGGTTCAAGTGGGAGACCCACAAAGCCAACTCCACCGAGGAGCCTCAG